GGAATGGAATTGCTACGTTTATGGTATGTTTAACTTTATAAGATGATGCCATTCTGTTTTACAAAATGACAGTCATTTTGTGTCTCCACCAGCAAGGTATGGGAGTTCTAGCTGATACACATTCTTGCCAGTGCTGGTATGCCAGTCTTTTTAAACTTTAACCATTCTAGTGTGTGTGTGTGATATCCCATTGTGGTTTTAATTTACATTTCCTTGATTACTACTGGTGAGCCTGTATCCAGTTTATTGAAAAGATTCTGTTTGGATTACCTTGTTAACTTTTGTTAAAAATCAATTGACTGCATAAATTTGGGTTTACTTTTGGACTCTTGATTCTGTTCTGTTGATCTGTATGTCTATTCTTACTGACATTGTCTTTATACAATGTCTTACATAGCATTACACTGACTAAGTCTTGAAATCAGGCAGTGTAAATCCTGTTTCTTCCTTGTCAGAATGCCTTATGCTTATGGTTTCTGTGGTTTAAATTTTTTCCATCCATTTTATATTCATCCTATCCATATCTTCATTTAAAATGCCTCTCTTCTGCACAGCAGAATCCTACCCAAACACCCATTTTCATTTAGAACAGTGGTTTTCCTATCACCCAGCAGTGACATTTAACCTAATCTGTCCCTTTTCTACCTGGCAGTTTGCAGATAAATTTGATCTGTTTATAATCCCTATAGGCCTATATACCTTGACAGACCTTTAACTCTTCCCTCTGGAATCTAACTTGTTAAGATAAATTTAACCTGAACATAAGATTTTCACACAAAATTATAATTTTGTCATTTACTCTTCAGAAACATTGATCATAATGCTAATTGTGTATCACTAGTTTATTAAAATTTCGTTCAGTTTCTTCTCATTTTGAGCCAATTTTTTGCATATCATATCATTCTTTGATGTTTAATACTCAAAGGTAAGTTTTATAAAGCCTTATAAATTGATCTTTGTTTTTCCTCAGGCTTCTTAAAGAGTTAATGAAAATATTTTCCTCTGCCAATTCTAGAAAGAGAGTGGGTAGGTATGTGATAGGTTCCAGGATACTTAGCTGTAAAGAGCCAGTTTAACCTAGTGGTTGAAAATGCAGAAATGCAGACTGCTGATGAACTGCCTAGATTTGAATCCCAGTAGTCACTGGGATGACTTAAGAAAAGTTAGTCTCTTTGTGCATCAGTTTTTTAATCTGACAGTAAAAACAACCTAGTGAATTATTGTTAGGATTAAATACGTGAATATATATAAATAGTGCCTGGCACTTAACACTACCTAAATGTTAGCTATTGCTATTTTCACCATTCTTATCATTTAGTATATTTATTATTACCTGTGATCCCAGGGCCCTTTCCTATAGTACTTCTGTTGTCTAGATCTTGTGATCTTTCCTGTGAAATCTGTTTCTGTAGCCAAATTTCTCATGAGCCATGATCATCTGATATCTAAGAAATACCACCTCTGAATGCTCTAATATTTTCTAGGGTTGAGCAAGTTAGTGTGTGAGACCTCCTGAAATGCTTTGGAATACTCTCAACATTAGATCCTCCTCTTTGTGGATATTTTCCTACCATGGTAGATATCCCACAGATGTTACCTGGGGCCGGGGAATCTGATTTCACTAGGAGAAAGCTCTGTATCAGAAAGGCATTGATTGATTGGAAAGGGAAACCTGGCAAGTCCAATGAGCTTAGGATGTCCTTGGTCTGTCTTGGGTTGGTGGCAACATCCACTGGAAGGGGACTGTTCCCTCTTCGCCTCTGCCTGGAAATCTAAGATCTGACTCAAGAGCAAAGTTCAGCGAGATGGTAGTGAAGGAGGCAAATACAGCTCTCTCCTTCAGTATTCCTGCCAGTCAGGAATTCCTGCTAGTTGAAGTTGAAATTACTAAGGTATTTCTTTAGAAATCCTTTAGTCCTAAGAGGAAATTGTTCTTTTTGCACCATACAGACTGCCTGTAGAATAGTAGTTTTACTGCTCTCTAGATCTTCCCTCTGCAAACTTCTGACATCCCACTTGTCCTTTGTACCCTCATCAGAAGGTAATCAAGTAAAAGGCAGATCATTCTGTTTTGCTATCCAAGTAGCATTACTGTGGTAAAAGATTAAAGCTTAAGTGTAATTACATTTTTTGAGTATTTCATCTATTTGGAAGAATGACTTTGAGCTGGGAATATAGCAACCAGAAAGATGCAGATTGGCAGTGAATTCATGTAACTAGAGCCAGAGGGTGAAGCAGGATTTATTCACTGCAGTCCAGAAGCTCCAGACTTGTGTGTGTGGCTTGTGTATGGGTGTGCCTGGGGTGGGGTGGGGAGATGGGGGTAAAGGTTCATAACACAGAGTTCTCAGAGATCTTCACCTGGAAAAGGGAAGGTCTATCTGTGTCCATCAGCCATGTTTCCTTATTCTTTCAAGATCTCCAACCTTCTGTACATACCTGATGACAGCAGCTCCTCACCACTCCTCTGAAGTGACAGTGGTATTTAAAAGTAGTCTTGGGTTGGTTTTAATATTAGTTTACATGCCATTAAATTTCTGGACATCCCTTGTTTTAAAACAGGTCATTTGAAATTCATATAAAATGCTTGTAGGTGGAACATTGTTTTTTTATTGTTATCTCTATTAGATACCCAAGCTCCAGTTGTTCCATATTGGCGCCTGCCTGGTTTGGGCATTATTGTTTACCTGCTGAAACAGAGTGCTAATGATTTCTTCAGCTATTATGACAGTCATCGACAGAGTGTCAACAAGCTACAGAATGTAGAGCAGCTTCCACCGGATGAGATAAAAGAGGTATGACTTTTAATAATGAGCTGTGGAAACTTTTGAGAAGCCATTGCTTTTACTAACAAAGGAGAAGGTACTGGTGTCAAACTTTTGAGTAAATATGATGGATGCAATGAGACGAAAGGAAGTAAAATGATTCCTCTGTGTGACTTGAAGAAGAGTCCCTCACCTTAGCCCACTCTGTTTAAGCATAGAAGCTCTTGATGAAAGACAGTAAAGTTGTACCTGTTCAAGAAAACCACCATTATTCAGTAGAATGGTGACTGGCCTCTGAGTAAAGTTTTGGTAATTTCTACCCTCAAACCTGTGCTGAGAAACTTAGGTTTCTGTTGCTGATGCTTATTCAGTAGAGGCAGTTCCTTGAATAAGATGCCCCTGTACCTTCAGCATATTCAGTATCTGTTGAGTGAATTTTTCAGACAAATGGGATGGCATATCAGACTTGACTGCCTGCTCTCAGTGACCAGAATCACCTCTTGGCATTTATATAGCTCAGTGGCTATGCTTGCTCCCTAAGAAGCCTGCCTTCTTTCCCATTTGGCACAGCTGAACTGTAAGGCATCTCTTGGTATCCTGTGGCAACCTGGATGTTGAACCATTTTGCATTCCTGGTTTGCACCAGCTTTCCTGGAAGACTCCTTGTCATTCTTAAGAGTGGTCAAAGCCTACTCCTTGCCCCTCTTCTGATAATCAGAGGAAGCATTTAATTTATCGAGTGTTTGCGATGTGCCAGGCCCTGAGCTACAAGTTCTACCTGAATACATGAGGTGGATATTGTTGCTACTCCCATTTCTTAAATGAGGAAACCGAGGCACTGGAAGTTTGAGTAACTTAACCCAAAGCCATACAGCTAGCAAGGAAAGTTGAGGCAGCAGTTTATTGACTAGGTTCAGGCAGTCCCTGAAATTGTGTGGTTTACACTTGGCAGCACTCCCCCACCCATGTTACTTAAAGGTGCTGCTAATAACCGCAGCATCTCAGTGGAGTGTTCGGTCTGCCTTCTGCCAAACTGGGAGTCTGAATTTGAAGTCAGTCCATGGTGCTTATAGGTATGCCATCTAGGGGAGTGATGAGGGGACGTTCTGATTGATGACTGTATTTTTGCCTGTGCTCTAGAAGTTTACATTTTCTTCAGAAGATACATGACAGATGTTAAAGAAATTCTCCAGGGCATTGTTAACACCTTCTGGTTGAAAAACCTGTTTTGTTTTGTTGTAAATTTGACAGGAAATTCAGGGTTGGTTGGCCCATCAGCAGATTGGACATGTCTGATTCAGGGACAAGACTTTTTCAAAAGTGGCAGATGAATATTCATGTGGAATTCAACTACTTCTTCAACTTCATTTTTTTAGGTTACTGGCTTCCTAACTAGATAATAAAGGATGTTTATTTCTTCAAGGATGTTTCAAGTTACATGAATATTTTTCTTAGTATTTACAAGCCACCCTCTTAGAGTAGATTTTCATTAAATTTTTGATTTAGTTTAAGTAGTTCTTAATACTGTGTTTGTTTTGTTTTTTAGTTGTGTCAGTCTGTGATGCCTGCTGGTGTTGATAAGATCTCCACTGCACAGAAATACATTCTAGCAAGACGGCGTTTGGTGAAGTTGATCAATAATAGAGCAAAACTTCTTTCCCTTTGTTCTTGTATCCTTAATAAAATCATAGTGGGCTTTCAATGATGACCTTTAAGAGTATTTTCCAATGTAGGAACAGTTTGCTTATTCTCACATGATTGGGCATCAAAACCATGCAGAAAGGGACATAATCACTGTCGATTTTTTTTTCCAGTAAGTGCCTGATATATTCCAATTGAAAGTTTTTTTTCTTAACCTTTTAGAGTAGCTGATAATCTTGATCATACATACAGACACTTTCTGTCTGGACAGGAGATAAGGACACAGTGTTCCACCTCCCTGTCAACTTACCTTGCTGCTTTCTGGGGAGATATCTTCAGTGGAGCCCTCCCTCTGTCTTTAGACTGAGCTAGTGGGTGCAGTCTCCGCCTTTTATTTCCTCCTTGGAAACTGGTTTGTAAAAACACGTGCAGAGATTATTTTCCTTTAATGTGAGCTCTTCCGCATAGTTATCATAGAGACCTGCCTGTTTATTCTTTGGCGCCATCTGGAGTACTACCTGTTACATTGCACGCCCACAGATTCTCAAGATTCCTTATTTGCCTCCAGGACCTTATTTAAAAGCAGAAGACTACAGGGTAACTGTTCTGAAAGTTTGTGAACGATAAGTGCCTATAAATTTTAGTGGCTTGAAAAACTAGTTGCAGTTTTTATTTATTTTTTGTGTTTCCTGATTACTGTGAGTGGATTGGGTCAAGAGCTGTTTTGTTTGTAGACATAGCTATTTTTTAGTTATACTTCTGTCCATGGGAAATTGTACAGAGCATAAGAGCACCTTAGAGGCTGCTCCTCAGCTTCTTGCAGTTAGGGCTGGCCCAGCTCTTGAGCCCTGTGGTCACAATTTTTTTTTCCAGAAGAATGGAAGTGGGTCAGCCCAGGCCATGGTTCTTATTGCTAGATTGGGACCCTGTGAGTAATGATCATATATTGATTGGACTGTTAATGGGAAGAAACAAGAAAAAGCTTGAGAACTCTGGCCTGGACCAGTGAGGTGCTTCCTGGGACTCCCATTTACTGGAAGTTGAAGTAGAGTTCTCATTCTTGACCCCTGTTTTTCACGGCACTGTTGTTCACTGTCTTCAGGATTTCCACTGTGTAGTAGGTATATACTCACTAAGCTGGTTTGACTGTGTCTTTTATCTCTATATTCCTTTGCTTCAGAAACCAACCCGGATTTTAGAAGTGGCCTGACTGTAGTGAGCCAGCATGACCTAGACCAGGTGAGGCCTAGGCTCAGACTCTCTCGTTTTGAAAGGAAAAAGGAAAAGCCTCGAGTGTTAGTAAGATGATAATTTTCAGAGTTGTTACAAAGACCTGATTTGAATTATGGCCTGGCCACCTAACAGCTGTGTGACTTTGAACAACTTACTTAACTTTGGAGCTGCCATTTCCTCCTTGAAGAAATGGGAATGATAGTTCAACCTTAAGGAGTTTTCTCAAAATGAAATGAAGTTTTGTATGTGAGGTTCCTGGGGTCATGCCCAGAACATAGGAAGTAATTGATAGGCATTAATTGATAGGCATTATGATCTGGAAACTCCTAATTTATTTTGATTAACTTTGTACGCTTTTGAGGCACAAAGTGTTACTCAACATTTAATTTTTCAGATAATTTAATGGAGAGATTATGAGTAGCCACTAAAAATTCCACTGTGATAGACTATATTTTACAGTATTATATATTTAGTAACTTCTTGATCAGTAGTATCAGAATGAATGAAGGGCATTCCAAAACCAGTTAAAATGAAAATCTCATATGAAACTAATGGGAAGGTCTTAGGAACAAAGCAGTTATCAAGTGCATGATGTTAGGGAAAATGAATTACAGCTAGATCTGCTGCTCAGCATCTGAATATCTTTAGCCGTGATTTGATAAAGCCTCTACTCTTCCCTCATCCCTCTTGGTTGCTGCCTTTCCTAAAGCTGAAGGTTGAGCCTTACCCCAGAAAGAGAGGCCTAGTACAGCATCCTCCAGACCCAGCTTAGCCAGATGTCATGATAACAGCCTCTTTTTCAAGCCCTGACTACATTTGCCCCCTAGTGACTTTATGACACTTCATTTTTTTGGCTTGTCTTGTCTAGGGAGGCTAATGTTAATCTAAGTGAGACCATGTGCAGAATTAATGGCAGATGTTTAATATATGTTGAATCAATGACTATTTCTGTTTCATTAGACTGGTCTGTTACAAAGATAGAAGAAAAGCTCATTCTTTGTTTTGATCTTAATGTAAAACCACAGGCAGACAGATTCATCTGGTTTTTTACTTAATTTTAGCATTTCAGTATAATACTAAAGAGCCATCTTAACTCATGCATATGAAGTCTAAAAGGTATGCCAGATCCCCTCCGCCTTTCATGTATTTCAAAAGGTAAAGCATACAAATATTCTTGTTCTTTCTATAATTGCTTTTTCCCCAAAAGGCACCCACTCTTAATAACTTCTTATGTGGCCCTTCAGGAAATGTTTTTGTGCATATATCCATATATCAGTAGCAGCATCAATAGTTGTTGCTTTTTAAAGCAAATTTAAAATTTACACATTAATATAAGAAAGGAAAGAGGGAAAAACAGTATCATACCAATATAATGTTAGGATGGAAAATGTGAATGTTTAGTTTGGTATATGAGAAAGGACTATATTTCAAAAATTCCAAGGTATTTAAAATTGGAGGACATAGAATAAAAGAAGTATTTGAGGCTGCAGTTTTAATAATGAAATGTTATCTTTGTTACATCTAGCTTCAGGCTGATGCCATCAACACTTTTGGAGAATCACTACAAAAGAAACTTCTGGACATTGAAGGACTATATTCAAAAGTTCGATCTCGCTACAGTTTCATACAAGCTCTTGTCAGACGTATCCGAGGCCTAATGAGGATATCACGGAGCTGAAAGCCCATGCTTATATTCTTCCAGGGAAGAGATGAACTGGGGAAAATGTCTTCTTTTTATAGATGAATTGTTTCTAAATTATGACCAAAAAATATTTTGCTATTTCTTTCTTTATATATGGACATCTTTTCTGTAAACTTCTTTGCCTGGATTCTATCCCTATTAGTAAAAAATAAATACTTTTTAAAAAAACAAACAAACATGGTTTGTCTTTTGCAGTTTATCTAGAAGATGGTCAACATTGTTAGGAATCCAACAAATAAACTTTCCACAGTGAATGTGTTAGGGGGGCATTGTTTATTTTCCTCGGTTCTTGTCCCCACCGCAACAAAGAATTGAAGGACAGAGACACAGCAGTGAGGCAGAGTAAGTTTTATTTGAAGTTCTTAAAGAGAAGAAGTGCAGGTGACCTCAGGGAGGAGAGGCACCTTGAAAATTTGGGACAAAGTCTTAAGGCAAAAAGGTTATGCTCTTATAAAGTGTGGGTGACCTCAGAGAGTGGGGCACCCTGAAAAGTTGAGGGTTCTCCCTTTTAAGGATTTTTCAGGAATGTTGACTAAAGGCTAGGGGTATAGACTTGTTAAGTGGTCTGAAAATGTTTATCTTTTTTTTTTTTTTATTAAGGTATCATTGATACACAATCTTATCCTCAGGTTTCACATGAGCAACATTGTGGTTACTGCATTCTCCCCTCTTATCCAGTCCCCATCACATACCTTGTTACAGTCACTGTTCATCAGCATAATAAGATGCTATAGAGTCACTGCTTGTCTTCTCTGTGCTATACTACCTTCCCCGTGCCTCCCCACCCCATATTATGTGTGCTAATCAAGATGTTTATCTTTGAATGAGACATTAAGTCTCTTACCAGTTCTTTAGGTAATTCTGCAAAATCAGCTTAACACAAGAAATCTACTGCTCTGATTCCTTTAGGATAGCATCTTCTGCCTGGGAGCATATCAATCAAGCCCACCTCCCTTGTCCCCAGTGTGGGCTGAGTTATTGTCAGTTTGCTGAAGAATATGTTAAGAATCTTACTTTTTAACTTCCTGGGTTTTAAAGTGCAATCTTTAGCTTTAAGGTGGATTCTTTCTGTTTTTGCTATGCTGTTTATGGCTGGGCTTGTTTGCTAAATTAACCATGGTGCTTATCTTTTGCCCAGGTTGCAGATTACTTGATTAGGGATTAGAGGAGGAAAAACAGCATATAGGTAAAATTAAAAAAAATAAACTGGACCTTTTAGCAGGCTGAAGTAAATCTTACAGTGTCATGATCTGATTGACACAGTGAAGACATGGGCTGTGCTGAGATACTTTTCTTTATCTGGGGAATATTTCAACATTCCAGGCCAAGTTGCTCCTGACCTTTCGAGCTTTAACTGATTAACTGATTAACTCTAAATCTTTTCTGGGTTTCTAGTTTTAACTGGTTAACTTGTTGAGTCCTTGTAGTGGACTTTACTGGCCTTAATTCTCTCTCCACTGCACTCACATCTATTTTCCTGCCTAACAGTTACTACTACTAGGGATATAATTCTGAATGCTAAATTAAAGGCAGTCTGGAAATTTTAACTTTTTTCCCTTTGTACATGCACTACATGTCTGTGATACTCAGGGTCACCCCATGGGGTAGAGTGGATACTTAACTCTAGCCACGCTTTTCAGTAGAGTAGACTCAATTCAGTTCCGTATTAGTGTATTATAGAACCATGTCAAAAAGTCAAGCCATCTCTTCCCTAAAATTTTTTTCTTTATGTAAATCGCAATACAATAATTTGTATTTATTCCTTAGAAATGATAGTGAAATTTCTCAATTATCTGCATATATTTTTCATATAATTAATATAAAGGCTACAATTAGGGCAAAAGAATTTAAACAATCACCGCAACTGCATTTATGTTTAAGTGGTTGCATCATCTGAAAGTCCTTTTTTCCCTGTCTGATCAACTGAGCAGCGTCTTGACTCTCATGCAGCATCAGCAGTCGCAAATTAAAACTTAATACTGTAGTGTTGCTTTTTAAAAAATGTAATAAAATTTCCATGGCTTTTAAAAGCATCATTTAAAACATTTGTCATCATTATATTCTGAAATTAATTTACTGCCCACTACTTAATAAACATTACTCTGCAGCTGTAGCTGGAAAGCATCCTGTTAATAAATGGAAGTCTCAGAGGGGTGTGGATGAGTAAACGAGTGAGTCCAGAATGTAGTAATGACTGCTGCTTTGTGGGCCGGCATATGGCAATCTTTATGTTCTGGAACACAGGCATGAACCCAGAAATAATCAGAAAAGAGCCTGGGGCACAGAACCAAAGCATTTTTTTTTATTAAGGTATCATTGATAGCTTCTCATTGAAACCATTCTCATAAAGGTTTCACATGAAAATGTGGTTACTACTACACTCACTCATATTATCGAGTCCCCCCCATACCCCATAGCAGTCACTGTCCATCAGTGAAGTAAGATGCCACAGAGTCCCTATTTGTCTTCTCTGAGCTGCACTGTCTTCCCCGTGACCCCACACACACCATGTGCACCAATCATGATAAGCCACAATCCCCTTCTTCCCTCCCCACCCACCCTCCTCCACCCCTCCCCTTCGGTAACCACTGGTCTCTTGGAGTTTTGTGAGTCTGATGCTGTTTTCAGAACCAAAGCATTTTATAAACCACTGGTGTGTGAATCCACAGGACAGAGAGATTAGCTAAATTTGGAGTTAAGATTTTGGGTTTATTAAATTCCATTATCCCGTCATGCCTTGGAATCAGAAATTGGGACAGTGGGAAAGTGTGTGAGAGGGAGGGGCAGGAAGGATTCCTGCTTCTTAAAAGGCTGACAAATCTTAGAAATGTGTTTGCATAATAAGTCCCACCCCTGAAAGGCTAACATCCTCAGGGAGTAGAGGACACATTTTCTGGGGCCTGACTGGAGAGGTGATCAGGTGGAGCAGGTGCTCTTAGCTGGGCAAAGGCGGGAAAAACAGATTGTAGGTGTTTTGTTTTAAAAAGTTTAAGCATCCAAAGGGTAGGTTCATCTATTCCTCGACAGTACTAAATAAGCATAGAATCTTAATATCTTGTTTTTGTTGGGTAAATAAGTTTGGTGGTATTAGAAAATAAAAGATACCTTTTCCTAGTCATTGTCATTGTAATAGAGTTTTCGTAAAATGGTGATGCATACATATGTAAGTCTGAACTTTATCTGAGATGTAAAAGCTGATCATACACAATCTAAGTTCTTCTAAGGTATTTGTTTTCCCAACTTACTTTGAAAAAATTTGAATCTTCAAAGTTTTGCAACAGTTGAAAGTACAGTGAATCCACACACCTTTCACCAGCTTCACCAAGTCTTAACATTTTGCGCATTTGCTCTATTTATGTGTATATATACTGGTTTTCTTCCTTAACTACTTAAAAGTAACTTGTGGACATCATGACACTTGATCCGTAATATTTCAGCAAGTAAAATCAAGGATATTTTCTTCATGACCAAAATACCATTATCAGACTTAAAGACATTTGACAATAAAATAAAATAAAATTTCTAATAGTCCACGTTCAGATTTCCTCAGTTGCCCGAAAAATATTCTCCTAGGACTTTTTGTTTTACTCAGGATTTAATCAATCGTACATTACATTTAGTTGTCTCTTTAGTCTCCTTTATTCTGAAACAGCCCCCTTTCCTTTTTTGGGAGAGGAGTCTTTTATATAACATTTTTAGCTGTTTTGAAAAAGGTCCCAGAATTGTTTTAAAAAATTAGATTGACATTAAACATTTTTGACAAGAACACTACAGTTCTACAGTGGATACTATGCCTTAGCATGTATTAGGAGGGACATAAGAGTTTGTCCCATTATATGAAGTTGGATCACTTGATTATGGTAGTGTTTGACACACATCTCCAGTGTAAAGGTTATCTTTGTGCCATTATAATGAATAAGTAATCTGTGGGTTGCTACTCTATCTAGTTTCAAAAAAGACCCTTTCAACCACTGCTTTTACTCATTCCAATTTTTTAGATTCTATACTGTTTTGATCATACAAGTAATATAATCAGTATAATATAACCAGATTCCCACTCTTCATGTCACACACCTAAATTGATCAAATTTTTCAATTAATAGTATTTTTTTAAGGGAAATACAATGTGGTAGGTACAATTGAGGCAGATGTCAACTGTGAACTCTAATCCCATTCCTGTTTCCCTCCCAGAGGTGACCATTGTCAGGAATTCATTGCTCATCTTTGCCAGTCACGTTTTCCGCCTCCCGCTCCCCCTCCCCACCCACTCATCCCAACCCTTCCCTGCCAGTCACTTTTTATACTTCCACTACATATTTGTGTATTCATAGGCATTAATTTTACAGGTTGATCATCTTGGTGTGTGTGTGTGTCATCGTACTATGGAGCAATTTGTAGGTGGCTTTTTTTCATTTAACATTGTGTTTTTGATAGTTCCTTGTGCTCATTTATTCTAAGTATTGAATAGTAGTATTACAGTACATGAATACCCTAATTTATGCATTCTATTATTGGTGGACTGGCATACATTTAAATTCTCACCGTTGTGCTACTACAAACAGTGCTACGATGATAATTATCATACCTCTTGTCTCCTTGGATGAGACACGTGACACAAGAGGTCTTCTCTGGATCACGTAACTAGAAATGGAAATCCTGAGTTGGAGATAGAAGAGCTTTAATTTCACTAGACATTGCAGTATTTTCCTTAGTAGTTGTACCAATTTACTCCTACCCATGGGGTGAAAGTTCCTGTTTGTTCACACCATCAATAACAGTTCTAATTGTCCTACTTTTTTCCCCAAATACTTACTTTTTTTTCAGCAGTTTTAGATTTACAACAAAATTGAGGAAGATACAGAGGTTCCTATATGCCCCTTGTCTCCACACCCACAGCCTCTCCATTATCTGCATCGGTCACCAGGGGGTACATTTTTACCAAGGATTATTTTACATTGACACAATGCCCCAAAGCCTGTGGTTTTTACCCTAGGGCTCACTCTTGTTGCATGTTGTATGGTTTTTGGACAAATCTATGATGCCATATATCCATCACTGTAATACACAGAATATTTTCACTGCCCTAAAAAGCCTCTGCACCCTGCCTATTCATTTCTTCCTCTGCCTCTCTGCCCCCAGTGATCTTTTTATTCTTTCCATAGCTTTGCCTTTTCCAGAATCCCATATATTGAAATTGTACAGTATGTAGGCTTTCAGATTTGCTTCTTTCACTTGATAATATGCATTTAAGTCTATCCACTCACCTACTGAAGGACATCTTGGTTGTTTCCAAGTTTTGGCAATTATGAGCACATCTGCTATAAACATCCTTGTTCAAGTTTTTGTGTGGACCTAAGGTTTCAGCTCCTGTGGGTAAATCATGTGGTAAAAATATGTTTAGTTTTGTACGAAGCTGCCAAACGGTCTTCCAAAGTGGCTATACCCTTTTGCATTCCCACCAGCAATGTGTGAGAGTTCTTAACTGCTCTACATCTGTGTCAGCATTTGGTGTTTTCAATGTTCTGGACTTTCTGGCTATTCTAATTGGTGTGTAGTGGTAACTCGTTTTGATTGGCATTTCCCTGATGACATGACGTGGAACATGTTTTCATTTGACATCTGTATGTCTTCTTTGGTAAAGTGTAAGGTTTTCAGCCCTTTTTTATTCAGGTTGTTTTCTTATTGTTGCATTTTTAGAGTTCTTTGTATATTTTGGATAATGGTCCTTTATCGGATGCATCCTCTGCAAATATTTTCCCCCAGTCGTCTGTGGCTTGTCTTCAGACTCTCTCGATACCATCTTTTGCAGAGAAGTTTTTAATTTTAATGAAGTCCAGCTTATCAATTATTTCATTCATGGATCACATGTGTGGTGTTGCATCTAAAAAGGCAACAACCATACCCAAGGCCATCTAGGTTTTCTCCTATGTTATCTCCTAAGAGTTTTACAGTTTTGTGTTTTATATTTAGGTCTGCTGTTAATAAAAATTTTGATGAATTTTTATGAAGGGTGTAAAGTCTGGGCCCTGGAGATGGGTCATGATCTGCAGTTCAATGGGATTCCCAGATGATTTGAATGCACATTAAAGTTTGAGAAGCACTTGTGAAGACAATCAAATTTGAACCTATACATGTTGGAAAATAGAATGTTACAGCCATTTACCAGCATCCCCTCCCTCTTGGCAATCGTTTTAGTTCAAAGAGACCCTGCCCCCTCTGGTTGTAATTGATCAGGGAGCACCTAACACCAGCTTGACCAGTCAGCATTTTTCACCAGGTATTTGAAAATGGTAAGGAAAGGGTGACCCAGTCTTTCTACTGATTGGAATATTTAGTGAGTCAAGTTACAGTGGCCATATTCTGGAAAGCAGAGAAAAAACCGTTAGGCAAAGAGAACAATGCAGATGTATGGAGGAAAGCAGAAATGGAGAGAAAAATGCTGTTTAAATCCTGATTGCTTTCCTGTTCCCCATAGTTGTCCACTGTATCTCTATCATACACTCCCGTGTGGTTTAAGCTAATAGGATTTGGTTATTATTCAGAAGCACAGTTCTACTAAATAGCAGGTAAAGGTGAATTGAGGAGGCTGAGAGCAAAGAGAAAAGGGTGGTCTTGCTTTTTTAGGTGAGTGTGTTGATAGAGGTTGTTGAGGGATTTGAAGCTCAGTAGCAGGAGGTATCCTTCAGTGTGATGGGGTAGCTCTGCGTGGAGAGAGGGCCGGGAGAGGTCCTCCAGAGCTCACTGTGCACACCATGCACGTGACATCCGATCGCCGCAACAATTCAACATGGGACTTGGTGTTAACCCCATAGATAAGGAAAATTAACTTCAGAGAGGTTAGGTAACTTGTTCATGGCTGCCAGGAAGTGCAAGGCAGTCAGCAACTGGATCAAGCTGTTCCAGACTGCAAATGCCTCCATCTTAACTACTGAAGCACCTAACTTCTATTATAGGTGCACGATGCAGGTTACGGAGCATACCTGTGGAACTTTTGAAAAATACAACCCTTCTCCCCTTCCATAGATTCTGCGCGGGGCACAGGTAAAGCGTGCTGCAAAAGCACATGTGATTCTTTGCTCCTAGGGATGGGAACAGCTGCTTTACTCAGACCTTTTAGGTCAGGGAGGCCTAAGCCTGGCTGTGCATCAGACTCGTTGGCTAATAAATACAGACCTCGGGGCCCCAACCCAGGTTTACTTCTGGCTTGAGGACAGGGCTCCGGGAATCTGAATGTTCAAAGCTGTCCAGCTGGGCGGAAGACGGGACTCGATTCTCGCCTTCTCGCCGTCGGCCAGTTTGGGCGGTAGTCCCGGAGAGCTCCCCAAGGGGGCGCCCGGGCGCCGCGAGGGGCTTCCGGGCGAGGTTTGGCTAGGGCGGGGCGAGGCGCGGCTGGGGCGGGGGGTGCCCCGGAAGTCGACGGTGGGCTCCGCCCTTCGCCCCCGCGGAGGCAGGCTGGGACCGGCCCACGGCGGTGACACCCTTCGTTCCCTGTTGTCGACAACATGCTCCAGTTCTTGGTGAGTGGAGCTGCCGAGGAGCGGGCCGGGCCTTGGCCCCGGGCCCCGCCGAGCCGGCCTGGGCCGGAGGGCCTGTGCGTGGGTCCCGCGGTACCCGCCGCGCGCGTGCCCGCCGGTCGCCTCACGGGGTGGGCCGCGGGGTTTGTTTCTGCCTCGCCCAAACCCTTTGCCAGTAGTTTTTCTGCAGCCATTCAAGTCCCTAAAACTTTGAGGTGTCCGAGCGAGCATGCCTTTTCAAAGCCGCTTCTGTGCCGTGCGTTGTTGAGGCTCGTATTAAGGCTTCTGGGTTCTTCGTGACCGTTCTTGGCGTCGCCTCTTGCCCCCTGCCCCGACCTAGACGCAGACCCATCCGCGACTTAGAGCCCTGCTGGGTGGTGTCTGAGAACGTAGGGGAACAGGGAGGGCCAGGAATAAACTCGTAAATTAGTAAGCCACCTCACGAGGCGCGGAAACGCAACGTCGGAGTCAAAGGCGTGGGGAGTTCTCGTCGGACCCCATAGCTTCCAGACTTTGAGGATAACCGGCTGCTCGCATGAGTCAGACCCTGGTGTACAAGTAACTTTTCCAAAACGCTCGTTTTGGGAGAAAATGAGTATTACCATAAAGTCATGGCTCTTAAGTTAAAACTGGTTTTCTGGCAAAGCTCATGTATTTCAAGTGCCCGCTGAAGATTTCAAGAGACCCTGCTAATCAAATTTGCAAATTGAAGTCTGTCTTCCAGGTTTTTTTTGCCATCAAAACTTGATGCTTTCAAATATCTGACTCTGGTAAGAAGCAGGTATTTTAGTATCTTCCAGGTGGCCAATGCAAATTGAGTGTTCTGGGAACGGATGCTTTCCCAAATGTTACATTATTTATCAAAGAGATTAAAAAAGAAAAAGTGCTCCTTCTGTCCCTATTTGAGATGGTAATTGGTTTTTAAATCCGTAGGGCAAAGGAGGTATCCTTGACATAATCTGCCCCACGAAGGCAGGGCTGCTCTGTCTCTGGAAGTTTCTCTGGTGTCCTAAGTAGGTATGAACGTTGAGTCAGTAGAAATAATTACTGTAGTCGTAGGAAACATGTTAAAAACAGTATCAATCCCGAAGTGTAAGGTGATGTAATTGAGCCTCCTACTGCACCTGTAGTTCATCCATAATCCAGGAGGACATTGAGTTGTACTTAACTTTATAAGTGCTTTAGCCGAGTGAGTTTCTTTGGTTTGGAATAAGCTTTTTTGCTGTTCATAAATAAAGATGTGACTGATTTGAGAATTCAGAATTCTCAGCATTTTAAGGAAAGATGCTGAAGTCTTTCATTAAGTTCCTAGCTCAGAAGTAGCTGGAACGTGGATGTTCTCTTTCCTTCTGTTCTCTGACCCTCTTCACTGCATCTGTTGAAAGAAGTGGATAGTATTTTCATCTCGATTCTACTTCTGTCAAATGATTCACTAACTCTGTGAGCTTGGGCAAGTCTTTCTCTTTGATTTTAGCCTTTTCATTTATAAAACAGTGGGGGTAGAAGTAAAAGATCCTGAAGGCCTCCTCTTGCTTTTAGCCCATGACCAGCCTTCATGTCCTGCCGCCCTAGAGGTCAGACTCCTGGGTTTGAACCCTAGTTCCATTGTTTCTAAGATGTGGGTACTTGGGCAGATTTTTAAAAAATTCTCTGTGCTTCAGTTTGACATCTGAAAATGGAAACTTACTTCATGGTTTTGTTGTGAGGATTAAAAATGAGTTAATACATTAAAGTACTTAATAACAGTAAGACTCAAAATTTTCAATCCCTTACAAGATACCAGCTGAACTCTAGTTTCTTAGAAATGGGGATTAGTTTACTCTCAGGGTAGTTGATGGGAACAGTTGTGGAAGTTGCCATCAAAACTTGATGCTTTCAAATATCTGACTCTGGTAAGAAGCAGGTATTTTAGTATCTTCCAGGTGGCCAATGCAAATTGAGTGTTCTGGGAACGGATGCTTTCCCAAATGTTACATTATTTATCAAAGAGATTAAAAAAGAAAAAGTGCTCCTTCTGTCCCTATTTGAGATGGTAATTGGTTTTTAAATCCGTAGGGCAAAGGAGGTATCCTTGACATAATCTGCCCCACGAAGGCAGGGCTGCTCTGTCTCTGGAAGTTTCTCTGGTGTCCTAAGTAGGTATGAACGTTGAGTCAGTAGAAATAATTACTGTAGTCGTAGGAAACATGTTAAAAACAGTATCAATCCCGAAGTGTAAGGTGATGTAATTGAGCCTCCTACTGCACCTGTAGTTCATCCATAATCCAGGAGGACATTGAGTTGTACTTAACTTTATAAGTGCTTTAGCCGAGTGAGTTTCTTTGGTTTGGAATAAGCTTTTTTGCTGTTCATAAATAAAGATGTGACTGATTTGAGAATTCAGAATTCTCAGCATTTTAAGGAAAGATGCTGAAGTCTTTCATTAAGTTCCTAGCTCAGAAGTAGCTGGAACGTGGATGTTCTCTTTCCTTCTGTTCTCTGACCCTCTTCACTGCATCTGTTGAAAGAAGTGGATAGTATTTTCATCTCGATTCTACTTCTGTCAAATGATTCACTAACTCTGTGAGCTTGGGCAAGTCTTTCTCTTTGATTTTAGCCTTTTCATTTATAAAACAGTGGGGGTAGAAGTAAAAGATCCTGAAGGCCTCCTCTTGCTTTTAGCCCATGACCAGCCTTCATGTCCTGCCGCCCTAGAGGTCAGACTCCTGGGTTTGAACCCTAGTTCCATTGTTTCTAAGATGTGGGTACTTGGGCAGATTTTTAAAAAATTCTCTGTGCTTCAGTTTGACATCTGAAAATGGAAACTTACTTCATGGTTTTGTTGTGAGGATTAAAAATGAGTTAATACATTAAAGTACTTAATAACAGTAAGACTCAAAATTTTCAATCCCTTACAAGATACCAGCTGAACTCTAGTTTCTTAGAAATGGGGATTAGTTTACTCTCAGGGTAGTTGATGGGAACAGTTGTGGAAGTGAAGGGACAGTCACAAGTTAAACATATGCACAGTCATCATGCATTTTGGAACCCTCGAAGATGTTTCCTGCCCTTGTCATTTCCTGGAACACTATTTGAACACCACTGTGCAGGATGTGCCGCTTAGGTATTTGCTTCATTGTTCATTCCTCCTTGGATTAAATACTCGTCCATCATCCCAAACTCGAAAACATGTTCCTGTGGTATTGCTGCCTCGTTGCCCCTTCCTTTTATTGTCATAGCTTCTTTGATTGCAGTATGGTTCTGTGACAGTTGTTGTAAGGCAACTTGGAGCTTTTGAAGGGCAGCCTGATGTGGCGGGCACTGCTGGGGGCTTTGTGTACACTGTCTGTGGTGGTGTTCCTGGCGTCATGTGTTGCCTTGCTTACCTCTTGAAGTGGCAGCGCTTGGTACTCTGAATCACCTCCTCTTTAATACCTCCTCCCTTGGCTTTTGGATCCCACCTGTCGATACTTACTGATGTTCTTTCACATTATGATATCTGGATTTATTTTTATGGAAGAACCTGCACAGAGTGAAGGGGACCGACTGTGGCGCTGGCCCCCCTGAGGGCTGAGGCGATCGGTGTCTGGGGGCACCAGTTGGGAAATGGCCCCGTGGAATCTTGCCTGTTTGCACTGGCTTCTTTTCCCTTCTTTGGGTTACTGCATATTTTTCAAGGCTCAGTCCTTGACTCTCTGCTCTTGTTTCCAAACCTGACCTTAGGGAGTTTTTCTTGTCATGCCATCACTTTCACCTCTTTGCTGACAGCTTCCAAAAGTACCTTGAGTTCTTTGCTCTGAGTTCCAGTTCCCTGTCATCACCTGCCTCCTGAGCATCTCTTACTGTGCTCTCAAACTCCGTTCTGGACTCATTGTCTCTTCCCTTTCCAACCCTGCAACCCTGATGCCTCACATCTGACTTCTTTCTTTGTGCCCTGGCTTTCTCAAGTTTGAAATATTGACATAATAATGTTTATTTCTCTCCTTCATTCTCCATATCATTTAGCTGCTAGACCTGGCACATATATTTACCTGCTATGTAATCTTGGGCAAGTTACTTAGCAGCTCCATCCCTCAGTTTCCCTAACGTATGCTGGGCAATAGTAATGCCTGCATTATATTTATAAGGCTGTGAAGAGCATCAGTTAATTCATGGAGGAGAGTTGGAATGTTACCTTGCATGTAGTAAGCATTTAGTAAATGTTAACTATTGTTTTAAGACATTGATTCTTTACTCACTTTTAAAAGATTTGTCTTTATTTTCCCACTGCCAGGTTTGTAGAGCAGATCTTTTTACTCCTGTTACCTTGCATGTAGTAAGCATTTAGTAAATGTTAACTATTGTTTTAAGACATTGATTCTTTACTCACTTTTAAAAGATTTGTCTTTATTTTCCCACTGCCAGGTTTGTAGAGCAGATCTTTTTACTCCACTCTTGGCCTAGCTGGTGTAGAAATGTAGGTTTTCAGTTGGATGAATTATTTTAGGCTCTCTAGTCCAACATGCTGATGCTTCAGTCTGCGCTCCTAATGGGGCACCGGCTTACGTTCCACATCTCCACCTACAGTAGGCTCACTCCTGTCTCAGGTGACTGCTCTCATTTTTGATAAATATCTCCTTACCTAGTTCTATGTCTGGATGCTAAAGAGCATGTATTCCATATAACCACCCTTGACATATTTGAAGAACATTATTTTGGTACCTCTATTCCCTCCAACACCTCCATTCTTTTCTTTAAACATCTGTACTTCTCCCATCCATTCTTCATTATTTCAAGCTGGACACCCTTCTTTGAATATGCTAGCTTTTGAATCCTTTTTGAAACATGGCTCTCCCAATGTAGTCTGATCAGCCGTAGAAAAGCAAGGCTCTTGCCTCTAGTTCTGTGCTTCCCTAGAAGCCCTTGGTTCTGTCCTCTTGCAGCTGCAGATTAATTATCCAGGATTAATTGCCTTAGTTTTATACTCAGCAACTGTCAATGGTCCCTATGTCCTTCCACATCAAATAGTAACTAACCACTTTGAT